GTGTGGGATATCCAGGGTGATCCAGTGTATGTGAACAGTGAGATGTTTGGGCGCTGAAGTCGCCATAGCCAATTGAGAGTGAACTCGTATTTGAAAGCCATACATCCGAGTTTTGAGTGGGCGCATTTCGCCAGTATGCTGCGTTGCTGTATACATGCATGAAAAGTGTGTTTGAGAACGAGTCTGATTGCACTACATTCGCCCGCCATGTGCAAACGCATAATTTGTATGATCAAGTGTTTGTGGCATATGTGCGCCCAAGGGGTGTTGTGGAACGACCTATTAAGCATCGCATTGATGTTATACTTGAGAGTCAAATTCCTAAGGGCCCAATTTACATAATGTCACCAAAAAATTGGATGAATTGCGAACCCAGTTGGATGAAATGTTGGAAAAGGGTTGGATTAGACCTACTTTCTCACTCTATGGTGCGCCAGTGCTGTTTGTGCCAAAGAAAGATGGCAGGGTCCGCATGTGCATAGACTATAGAAGATTGAACGGCATAACAGGTAAGAATGCTGAGCTGTTGCCAAGAATCGATAACCTGTTGGATAGAGTTCAGGAAAGCAAGTACTTCACTAAGATTGATTTGAAATTGGGCTACTATCAGATTGAGGTAGAACCAGAAGACCAATACAAGATTGCCTTTTGAACAAGGTATGGGCATTATGAATTCATTGTGTTGCCCTTTGGTCTTACTAATGCACCTGCAACCTTCCAACGAACGATGAATGAACATTTTTGTGAGTGGCTCGACAAATTTGTTGTAATATATCTTGATGATATTTTGAGTTTTACCAACACTTTGAAATAACATTGCGAGCACCTTTCGTAACTTTGTTAAACACTTTACGATAATCGTTGGTCCCCTTCGCAGACTGTTAAAGAAAGAAACAATCTAGAAGTGGGACCAAGACTGTACGTCCTCATTTAAGCGCCTGAAGAAATGTTTGGTCAACTATCCGGTCCTGAAAGTCGCTGATCCTTCCTTGCCCTTTGTGGTCACAACCGACGCCAGTCAGTATGGGATAGGCGTTGTACTCCAACAAGATGATGGAAATGGATACAGGCCTGTGGAGTTTGTCCCGACGTCTGCCTAGTGAGAAAGTCGTCGCTTCCACATATGAAAGAGAGTTGTATGCTCTCCGGGAAGCTCTAGATCATTGGCGCCTCTATCTCCTAGGACGCCACTTCAAAATGTACTCAGATCATGAGACACTTCGCTGGCTGAAAACGCGGGCCGGAATGACACCTAAACTGACAAGGCGGAGATCGATCAATATGACTTTAAACTAAAACCAGTAAAGGGGAAGTACAATGTTGTTGCTGACGCTTTGAGTCGAAGATCCGACTTTTTTGGTGCTATTGTAACATATTTAGATGTAGGCACCGATTTACAAGATAAGGTTAGGGATGCTTATTCCACTGATCCTGTTTATGGTGCTATGCTGAAACGTGTTCAAGAAGCGCCACAAAAGTTTCCTAACTATAGAGTAACTCAAGGAATGTTGTTTGAAAGAACTGATGTGGAAGATAGGCTTTGTTTTCTAGATAATGAAGAAATCAAAAGTGTGATCTTAGGGGAATGCCATGATACTGAAGGCCATTTCAGGTGGAGAAAAACCTACGCTAATCTTTGACTCGAATGAAACTTGATTGTATTGCATATGTGGTTGTGTGCCAATGGAACAAAAGCACCACACAGCCTCCCCTTGGACTATTGAAGCCCTTGTCTATCCCAGTAGGTCCTGGAAACTTTGTGTCCATAGATTTCATGGACACTAATGTGAAAAGCAGGAATGGAAAAAGCCAAGTTATGGTAATTGTTGATAGGATCAGTAAGTTTGTTGTTTTTGTAGCATTGCCTGCAAAAGCTAAAACCGACTTAGCAATTCGGGAATTCTTTAACCATTGGGTGAAAGACTACGGACATCCCTTGACTATCGTTATTGACAGAGACTCTCGGTTCACCAGTGAACAGTGGCAGCAATTAACGAGTGTCTATGGCTCTAAGCGGATAATGTCATCAGGCCAACACCCTAAGACAAATGGGCAAACTGAGCAAATTAATAAAATTTTGCAACAAACACTACGTATGTACATTCGTCCCGATCAGGTTGACTGGGATGAACGTTTGCCCAAAGTTGCTAGTGCCTACAATAACTATGTGCACTTGTCTACATGCAGAACTCCGATGGAGTTACATTTGGGATGGAGTCCTCGCAGACCTATAGACTGTCTAAACCCATATAGAGTCCATAAACTTCCGCCAGGAACCAGAGTTCGCAGTGCAATATGGGAAAGATTTAGAAAAGGTAAAGGAAAACATAATAAAAGCGCAACATCAAATGATTGAACAAGCCAATAAACACAGGAGACCTTCTCAGTTTGTTGTAGGTGATCTGGTTTGGGTAAAATCGAAGGAATTTATCCCAGAAGAAAACATATCTCAGAAACTATTACCTGCGTACAGAGGACCCTGGCAAGTATTGGATGTGATAGGAAATGTGGATGGATCCTCCTATGTTATTGAGATACCTCCACAGTTGCATACCAACCCAGTGTTTCATGCATCGAAGCTCCTACCTTGTGTAACTAACGAACTATTTCCCTGTCGAAGGTCAACAATTCCTCCAAGTATGGATGGAAAATTTGATGTTGATAAGATTGTGGCTGAAAGTACTATCCAGACTGGACGCAGAGGTAGACCTCAACGACAATATAAAGTCAGATTTGCATATCAAGATCCAAGTGAAGACCTAAACTGCATCGAACATAGTATCTTACTATGAAAGATTAAGAAGAGGTCTCAGTACTGTGACATATAAGGGTTTCTCAAAGGACTTTGAAATTAGGCCGGCGAGAGTAAAAGGGCCTTTACGAACCCTAGAAGAACACCCCAACAGTGAGGGGCCTTGTCGGCCAGAACTCAAATTCACGAGCAGCAACTCAAAAGATAAAGTTCCCAGAGGCATATGTCGCATCCATAATGAAATGAAAAGTCGTTTCGAACAGTCACAAATAGGTCCTGCACGAATAGGTATCGAACACAGTTTTCAAGACTGAGTTAGGGTCATGTCTCCTCGATGAAAAGTCATGTCTGTTCG